TCTCTCTCTCTCTCTCTCTCTCTCTCTCTCTCTCTCTCTCTCTCTCTCCCTGTCTCTCCAGTTTTTAAAGAACAATCCAGAGACGAACAAGTACGAGGGCTGGCCGGAGCTGCTAGAACTGGAGGGCTGCGTGCCCCAGAAGATATTCTAGGTGGCCGGGCTCCTCCTGGCCCAGGGCCCTGAAGAGGCTCTGCCTGAGTGGGAGCTGCAGCCTGGGGCTGGGCTGGCCTGCAGGGGAGAAGGGACACCCGGACAGCGCTGGCCGCCCACGGGTGCTGTGACTGGCTTCCCTCTGTGGGAATGAAATTCTCCTGGTCCTTCTGGACCCAGCTGCCGGCAGAGAGGACAGAGGTGCCAGCGGTCTGCCTCCAGGAAGAACCAACAGCTCACGTTGGAGCAACATTAAATTTATTTTCACTGATTTAGGACAAACTTCCCTGCCCCTGGGTTGCCTACTCTCTCCCTGGATTGAGCTGGTTCAAGCGCAGCTAACAGGGCTGTGGGCTGGGACAGGGGGTGACTGACAGCTCCAGGGGCACCAAGAGGCTGCAGGGGTGGAGCTCTGTGTCAGGGATTCATTTAGAGGTGAAAGAGTCCTTGGTACCTAGGTCTTGGGTAAGCTGGGCTGGGACTGAGAGAACCGGAGGATGGGACACCAAGACTATTGTCACGGCCTACTGCATGCAGGAGAGCTGCGGGGAAGGCAGGGAAGAAGAGGACAGAGCTCAGACTGAAAAGAGTGGGGCACCTAGCAAGGGGCTGCTGGGCCCAGTGTGGGCTCCTGAGAATGGTGAACCCGGGTGCAGGGGTGAAGTCAGAGTCTCCTGGCGGGCGGCCTCTAGGAATCTACACAGAGCATGAGCCTCAGAGGCGCCCGCTCCGGGGAGAAGGGGCAGGGGAGTTCACACACCAGCTCCCCCGGGCACCTAGTGAGGCTGAATTATGAATTCCCAGGGAGCCCCAGCCAGAGGTGTCACCGGATCCCATTGAATGGAGGCCCCGGGAGCCAGGACTCAGGGGTCCCCAAACAGTCCTAAAGTGGAAAGGCTAGTCCTCAGCCTCCGAGCATGTCACAGGGAAGAAACCTCCAGCCTAAAGTGGAGTGCGCCCCATTCCTGAGCTCTGGGGGCAGGCTGGACTTCCAGGGTGCCGTAGGAGTGAGGAAGAAAGGAAGTTGGGGTGTGGGGACCCCTGACAGGGCTGCATCGCAGTGAGCTTAGGTCCACGGCCAGAACCTACTTTGGAACATGCATGGATGTGAAATCCAGGGAAAGACCCCAGCCTCCTCCTTTCACCCCCAAGTCCCTGGCCTCCCCAAACCCCCCGGAACAGCCTCAGGCCTGGAGGGGGCAGCCTCCAGAAACTCCCCGAAACCATATCCATGCCTATTTAATTCTTGAGCAAACATTTGGCCGGAAACCTGCCCACAGAAAGAAAGTAGCAGGAAATTTCCACTGTGACCATAAACACCTTTGAAAACTTTTTTTTTTTAAAGAACAAACAAGAATACTTACAAAATGTAAAAGACTGGCCAAGCAAGAGGCGGCAGCAGGCTCTTGGCAGCAGCCTGCAGCATGAGCTGGCTTGGCTCCTGGTGTCCAAGGGGACAGAACATGTCACAGGCTTGGCAGGCAGAGAGCTGAGGACAGGCTGTCCTGGAGACAGGGAGCGGGGGTGGGGAGGCAGGACAGAGGGTAATCCACTAGGTTCCTCCTCTGCCAGCCTGCCCTCTGGGACTCTGGCTCACAAAAGCAAAGGACAAGGGGCTGAGTTCTGTCCCCGCTAGGGGGCCCTCTGCTAAGGACTCAACTGATTTGGAGAGGTGCAAGCCCAGGGATAGAGCCAGGTGACTCAGAGGCCCTGTAGCCAGCACCTGGGCTGACTGAAGCTAGGACTGCCTGGAAATGTCCCTCAGTCCAGCTGCCTCCCCCTTGTGGACAGCTCGAGCTGAATGTCCCCAAGTGTCCTACGTGGTAGGTGGCCTTTTACGGAGGCGGATGGATCTGAGCACTTAACGCTGGGATCAAGAGTGGCTGATTACAAAATCAGGCCACTGATGGGTTTGGTATAGTCCTGAGTGGGATTAAGGGTGCCCCCACCTGGTGTGACGCCACCCAACCCAAGATTGGGGCACCCTGGGCAAAACCAAAGGGACAGAAAGCAGGCTTGTGCATCACTTTCGCTTGCTGCCTGCTGCCTCCTGGCTGCCCATCTTTGCTATGGTCGTTCTTTGCCAGGGCCACCTGCTGTGCAGTCAGTGACTACGGACTGAACCCACTCCCAAGTGTGGGTTGAAATAAACCTTTTCCCCTTCAGCTGTGAATGTTGGGTATTTTGTCTCAGCGACAAGAAAAGCAACTAAGGCACCTTCCCTGTGCCACTTCTTTACTGGTAATCCAAGGGCTGGTTCTTAATACATCACCTGTATGAGAAGCCTCATCCCAGAGCTGGTGTCTAGGGGCTGTTTAGGTCCAGCCAGTGGGACAGAACTTTGCAGAAACTGCTGTTGTTAAAGGGACTGAGTGACACCACTGCCCTGCTGTCCCTGACTGTCTGCACGTGGAGAAAGTAGACACAGCCATGTTCTTCCTGTGCCAGGACTCTCCAGTCAGGCAGACTCTACAGTCAGGCCACCCTCTCCTTCCCACAACCTTGTGAGGCACAGGGTTCTAAGGAAACACCCACGAGGCCAGGGCTGTCCCTCCAGGCCCACCAAGGAGAAGGTGCTCTTGAGCCAGCCGCATGGGGTAAGAGGTAGCAGGGCAAACCTGTGAGACTTAATGGAGTTTTCAGGGAGTTGTGGTCACCCTGTGGGCCACCAGGTCAGTGCAGGGTGGGGCAGGGCAGGAGGCTAAGAACAGGAGCCTAGAGGGTTGGGTCTGCAGCTGAGGAGAGGCAGTTCCCTCAGTCAACAAAGGCAGGCCTGACTGACGGACCCCAGGACGCTGCCCCGGCCTTGAGGTTCCAGAAGGAAGCAGCACCCACAGCAGCTCACAGGCTTGGGAGGAGGTGGCCAGGCAGAGAAGAGAGAAAGGTGTGTCAGGCCCTGTGCACAGCACAAGTGAGGCTGGGATGCTGAGAGGTCTGGAAGGGGCAGCAGCCAGGCTGAGCATCCCAGGACCTGCTGTGCTGGGGCAACCAAATCTGCGATTTGCAGGAACTCCCGCTTGTGAGTGGAGACACCAGTGGAAGCAGGGAGGCCACTGAGGAACTGCTGCCCAATTTAGGGACAGGGGTGGAGGGGCCGTAATTGATGGACAGGAAAAAGGGGTGGGAGGACATCTCAGGAGTATTTGAGAGGCAAGATGGGAAAGACATGGACTGATTTCCCACAGGAATGCCACAACCCTGGCATCAGGATTCGGGGCTTTGTCTACCTCCTCGAACCCTGCCTGGGTGACCCCCAACGCCACCACAACAGCAAGGAGGAGACCCCAGGGCGCATGCATTTGAGGTCTGTAATTCCGGTTCTCACCAGTAGGTGGCAGACCACGCGACACAGGGAGCTGTGGGGCTCCGGGGACAGGTGTTGAGCTCACAGACCTGGTTGTCTCAGAGCATGGAGGATTTGCCATTGACAGAAGAGTGACACCTCACTGCCGGAAAAGTCGCTGTGCCCCGGACACGTTGGGTCCACGCATCATTTCAACCCCAGGGGAGGGACCCATTGCTCTCCTCTCCCCCACCCCAGTCCTCCTCGAACAAACACGTCTTAAGACTGCACAGGACCTTGGGACCAACTCCGCCGCCCCGGTTCCAAGACAGGGGAGAAGGAGAGGCCGGGGGAACCAGAGCTCAAACCCCATTGGCTGCTCATAAGCCATGTTCTAGCAGGACTTCAGGCAGATGGAAAAAAAATTAATAAACGTGTAAAACCCCCCTTCTCCCCACCCATCCCACCGAGAGCCAGGCTGTCGGGTAATTATGGGATGGCTGCCCGCAGAGTTTGATTGTCAGGGCTGACCTAGAGCCGCGCCGCTGCTCCAGCAGACGGCCAGTTCAGTGCCTGCCCTTCGAAATCTTGCGAGCTGCCTTCTCGCTGCAGGAAGGAAGAGGCTGTGCCTACGCCACCGCAGCAGGGACAACCGGACCGGGGTCAGCGAGGCAGGGGCTGGACCCAGGGGTGAGGAAGAGGAAGTAGCCAGCGGGGCCATGGGAGCTGGAGGAGACACAGCAAGCACAACACCACGAAGGCGCAATCGCCCCACAGGAGCACAGCGTCCTGGCTCCTGTTACAGTGAGTCACAGAGAAATACACGCATGCATGAATAGCTCCATTTAATCCACGGTTTTCATTCTTCCCCCAGCACCGGGGAGCAACCACTGTGGGCCACACACTGCTCTGGACCAGGGAGGTAAACTGTTGGGCCAGGCCCACCAGGTCAGCAGTAATGTAATTTCAATCACTAAGGAACTGAGAGGCTGCTTGGTCCAGGGAGCCGGAGAAGGCTTCTCTGGGAAAGCTATGGCGAAGCCCAAAGGATAACAGGGAAAGAAGCATGCAGAGGTCAGAGGACAAGAGGCAGGCAGGCAGCCAGAATAGCAAAGGCAAGGCCTTGGGTCAGAGGGAGGTGTGAGGGTCCCAGAACTTCCTGCCAGGGAGAGAGGAGAGTGGGGAATGAGGTCTGAGAGAAAAGGAAGCCAGGCTTGATGATCCACCTTATGGGCCAGGTGGGACTCTGCGCTAACCACTGGCTACTGCCATCTGCCACTGGAAACGTCCTCTGGTCTGTATTTCACTGGCCTGTGTGCGGGGTGCAGGGAGGGTGGCAAGGTCCCCACCTGCTGGGCAGAGGATTTGTGTCAGTGTACTACAGTGTGACAGCAGTGCCCCCCAGTGGGGACTGTTTCCCCCTGCTCTGGTCCGAGCTGAACAAGAACTTCCTCATTTCAGGCCCTGGGCCCCTGGGGGTGCTGTGGGGGACTGTGGGTCCCTGTGGTCACAGAAGTATAGACAAGGGGCATGACAAATTCATGCTTTAATAGGCTGACTGCACCAGCCGTACATGCCTCACCCCTTTTACCGTGTGTGTGTGCGTGTGTGTGTATGTGTGTGTGTGTGTTCGCGCGCACTCGCACACACACACACAGAGGAAGATGAATGAGATCCAATATTGTCCCCTACATGGGAGTGATGGACAAAGCTACAATCCGGGCCCCAAGTAGCTGCTGTCTTAACCTCTGCCTGCTGGCATCAAAGGGAGGCATGGGCCGGTGGGTAAGAAAGAGGCGACTGCTGCCGGGGCACTGGGAGGACATGGCCGTGGCCTGGAATCAACCTGCACATGCTTTGCTGCCCTGCTGGCTGCCTCTGCCCTGCTGGATGCTGGGGAGGGCACCCGGGCCTGCTCCCAGCCAGCCCTGGGCCCCAAGTGTCCTGGGACATGCCCACACAGACCCGCCCCAGGCCTCCACTGCAGTGCCCTGTGCTCTGGCCCCAACTGCTGAGTGGTGCCCGGCCAGGTGAGAAGGCCAAGTCCTGCCCGCCGGGCCAGCCCAGGGTCACCTGCCACACCAGATCTGCCGTGTGATGAGAGGGTCACCTGCTCCTCTTCCATGCTCCCAGGTGCCTCAGTTTCCCTTCCTGAGAGAGGCAGTGCTCCGGAAAGTGAGGTGCTGTGAGGACCCTCACAAGGCCTGCGGGCCACCGTGGGTCAGGAGCAGTTGCCCTAAGCCTGGCGGAGGTGTCCAGGCTTGGAGTGTCAATGAAAGCCACCTTTGTGCCTGGAGAACGAGCCACAAGGAGGCGGGGTCCTAGTACCCGCAGCCCCTCAGGGCCTGGCTCCTGAGATCAGCCAGCGGGAAGACCCCCACCTGGCCCTGAAGCCCACCTGGGCCTGATACTCACCTCCTGCCATGGGAGCAATCCAGGGGAAAAAGGTAAGAACCCCGCCCACCTGGCTGGGGCCCTGGACACGGGCAGCACCACAGAGGAGCCCGGGTGCCCACCTCGAGCTCAGCCACTCTGCGCACAGCCCCTCCCCCAGCTCCTCACCCAGATTCTCCTCTGGAAACCTGGCTGGGGTTCAGGACAAAGCCCGTGTCTGATCTCTCCGTGCCTAGGACAGAACGGGAAGGCCCAACTGCTCTGGCTTCCTGGCCTTAAACACCCACGTCTCCCCTTCCCTGAACACAGGCTCAAGGGGCGCCCCCTCCCCACACCCCAGCTCAGCTTTCGGCACAGAGGTATGCAGGGAAAAGATAAAAAGGAATTGATGTAGGAATCCGGCTTACAGCTTAAAAGTAATTTAAGCTTTTTGTACCTCATCTCACCTGAAAAATAGGAACAGTCACTGCCTAGGAGAACCAAACGGACTTCAGTATGGAAAGTACTGAGAAGAGGGCGGATACCTGGCGGGTTGCGTATAAGCTCTGGTCTATTATTAGTTATACTTGTTTTATTCCTGCTTGTCTCTAAGTCCGGGCACTGAGTTGGGCTACAGACAGCTCAGTCTGTGACAGTGGCAGTGGCCCTGGCTTTGGTGTCAATAGGGAAGGGGCAGCTGGCACAGTCACTTCCTAGGTTGGCCTGGGGGAGGTGGGCTCTGCATACTCTCGCTGTGTGGCTCAGGGACACAATACCAGGCTACCCTGTCACAGCTGCTGCCTACTTATTACAGCAAAGACCTGAACCCCTCATCTTCTTGTCTGCGAAGTGGGCCTGAACCCCAGCTCCCGGGATGCTCTATTCTTTAGGGAAAGACGCTTTCCCCTACACGAGGACAGAGACAGCATCAACCAGGAGCCCAGGGCAGTGAGGAGAGAGCTCCCCGAAAGGCAGAATCCTCTTCTTGCCCAGCAGCCTCCTGGCATGGTCCCCGGGGTCCCCCAGCCCCTTGGACTTTGCTGACAGTCACCTGACTCGCCACGTGAGCCTCGAGTCCCGGCTCACTGCCCTGCAGACACGCAGTGTGGGAACAGGCAATGGGCGGAGGAGGACGACAGGTGCAGCTGGGGCCTCTGCACCTCCGCTGTCTGCACCTCTACTCTGCCTGTCAGGAGCCGCGCACTCCTCCGCTTCATCTCTTATAAACCTCTCCCGGGCGCCAGCAGGAAGTGGTAGGGCCCAGCCCAGCAGCGGCAGCGTTCTCTCGGTGAGCCAGGCCTGCTACATTGGCATCTGCAGCCCTGGCCCCATTGTACAGAAGCAGAAGCCAAAGCTCGCTTTGGGGTTGAGGCTGTTTGAAACCCCGGGCGGGGGGTTGGGGGGGTGCCTGCAGAGAGGCTCAGAGCTGCGTGCCTGGTGAGGCCCGAGCCCCGGTTTCTCTAGTTACAAAGAGGCAATACAAACAGAACCTTCTTTGGTGTTACAGGTGTGAGAATTACATGAGGAGGAACTGCTTCACGCGCCCCTCCCCCAGGCCTCAGTTTCCCTGTCTAGGAGCTGAAAAGGTCAGGTGGAAGTTCCCAGGACTCCCAGTCATGTTAAAATAACAAATGCCACTGAGCTTTGGGAAGATGATAGGTCCCTTTCTGGGCATGTCAGCTGGAATCCAGGGATAAGGTCCAGGGTGTTGACCTCGTGGCGTGTGTCTATGCGTGTTTGTGCATGCGTGTGTGGCTGTGCCTGTAGGACTGGAAATCCGAGGGGCTCTCTACCACTGAGCTACATCCCCAGACCTTTTGTGTATTTTATTTTGAGACAGGGTCTCATTAAGTTTCCCAGGCAGGACTCGAACTTGTGACCCTACAGCGAAAGTGCTGGGGTGGGAGGGGGCTTGCTTCATTCTTACCAAGATGCGTGCGAAATGGAAACCTTGTTCAGAAAGTGCCAATAACCTCAGCAGAGCAGAACATTCTGCCGAGCGCCGGCCGGCCCTGACTGCGCAGGTCACTTGTGCACCTCGGGTCTGGACAGCTGCATCGCTGAGTGTTCTGGGGTCAGGAGGGAGCCAGCGCGCCCCGGGGAGCTGTGAGTGGGACTCCTGCCCAGCCTGCACACGCCGCAGCTCCTGCTGTCTCTCCATCTGCTGTCTCTGCTGCTAGCAGCCCCTGACCGCTTCCTCTCCAGCCTGTCCTCCTTCACCCCACCCTCTGAATGCCTGGGCTGAAGCCTCGAAAAGATTAAAGCTGAAATTTCTTCCCTGGCCAAGCCCAGGGACAGGGTGCAGCGCTGGGGACAACTAAAAGAGGCATTTATTTGGAGACAGGCAGGAAAAGGGCAGTTTTCTTGTCCCTGTGGCTGCTGGCAGGGCTGGTGTTCTCCTCTGACCCTGGCCTTCTTCCAGCCAGGCTCGATGTCCAGGGCCACCTTAAACAAATGTACAGGTTGGGCACTGCACAAGGAATACCTGGATGCGCAGCGCCCTCTGCCAGCGCCCTCTGCCAGCGGGGATCTGGGCCCAGGTGCTGGCCTCAGACTGCTGCTTTGTGACTTAGATAATGGGAACGGGGAGCTGGCCTCAGAGCCCCACCTGTACAAATAGGCCCACAGTGTTGCTAAATCTGTGGGACTGTCCCAGGCAATCGGGAAGGTGACACTGAGCCAGGAGGGCTGGGTCTCCCGGGGACGCCACAGCACTGCCACCATCCTGACCTCCCCAGCACAGGCCCAAGCCGCGGTCCTCTCCAAGATCTTGGTTCTCCCTGCCTTGCTGCCCATGCTGTGCATTTGTCTTTGATTCTGCAATTCGTTAGGAGAGGAGGGGAGGCTGTATGAGCTGTTGATCTGCACTGTGAGCCCAGTACCTCATACCCAGCATGGTCCAGCACGTGGCGGCAACTTTAAAAAATGAGACCGCAAGGGAGGGAAGTCGATTTCCTCTAGGCGGCTCTAGGCACGTAGGGCTGAAGGCCAAGATGGTGGGGGGTCCTGCAGACCCTCGGCCCATCCCTGCCCTCGGTGGCTCCGAGGGCCCAATTCCTGCATCGCCCACCCCGCCTGTACTGGCCTTCATTGAGGCCCTCCCTGACCCCAGGAGGCTGTTTGCTGGGAGGACAGCCAGAGCCGGGCCTGCAGCAGGCTGCATCTGGCCCCGCAGCCCCTGCTCTCATCTGCTCTCGCCCACTAGTCCTCCTAGCTGCTCACCCCAAGCCACACTAAGCCTCCCCTCGCCTGGTGCCTGGCGGAGTTAATAATCCCCTGGGAACCGCAAAAGGAGGGTCCTTAACGTTCAGAAGAATTTGATTTCTCTCCTGAAAGAGCGAGGAGGCGTGGCAGGAGGGGCCCGGCAGATGCCAGCTCTCCTGCAGGCAGAAATCCAAAATCTCAGCTCCCGTGGGGCCGGATCGCTTTCAGCACGGCGTGGATCCAGGGCCCGCGTGACCAGGGGCTTTGTCCAGGGAAGATCACGTCTCAGGGCCTGGGCTTGGGAGGGGCTTGGCTCCTATACTGAGAAGAGTTTGGCCTGGCCCTGCCCACTCCGGCCCCTGCTCAGGTGGCCCGGCCAGGCCTGCTCTCGGCTGCCACCCTCCCGTCACTAGAAGCCCATTGCAGGGGTTTCCCCAGAGCCCTAGCCTCCATCTTTGCCCCTAGGAGGCCCAGGCGACATCACACTGAGGTTAGTTATCTTCTTTCTTCCAAAATCTCCTGTGGCCCCTTTTACCGAAGTGGAGAAAAAGAGTGAGCTGACATTCCCGTAAATGTCCCTTTCTTCCTCAAAGATGATTTGGGGGTAGGTAATCCCTCAGTCTGCTTGTTTGTTTTTTAATTGTTTGTTTATTTATTTATTTATTTGGTACAGGGTTTCACTACGCAACTCAGACTCAGTGATCCTCCCGTCTCAGCCTCCCCAGCACTGGTATTACCAGCATGTGCCACCACACCTGGTTTCAGTGGCCAGCTTGGTGCAGGGCCAAAATCCGGTTCCTTGCACTTGCCAAGCAGGCACTTAGACTGCCGAGCTACTTCCCTGGCCCTAAGTCTGTTTTTATAATTGCTAAACTTTTATATTATTTTATTTAATTAGTAAGCTTCTACAAAAGACTATTTGCAATATATATATATATATATATATATATATATATATATATATGATGCAGACACAAATTCCCTGCATCCAACCCGGTAAAGAGAACAAGCAGGTGGCCCAGGAGACCCTGGGTCCGTCACCTGCCCCACCCCGCTCTCACCACCGTGGTAGAATCCTTAAGTTCTGAGTTGTTCCCGTCCCGACTTAACATGAACAGGATCAGCGTATACTGTCTACACTTGCTCTGTTTCTCTGTCATTTTATGTTGCGCTCCTGAGATTTATAGCGTTGCTCTGTGAATCTAGAAGACGGGTGTCTTCAAATCCTCTGTTACGTACCTAGGTTGCATCTGTCCACACCATCGTTGGAATGTAGCTGGGCATTTGGGTTGACCTCTGAACTTCAGCCACCCCCTAACTGAGGGGTACACTGCCCCGTACGCATCCGCAATGCACCCGCGTCATCGCTTGGATGTGAATCTCGAAGTGTCAGGGCAGCACGTTCCAACCTCAACAAGATAACACCAAACCGGTCACAGCGAGTCCCACCTTGCCTGCAGTGCGGACGCGTGCAGCTGTCCCACACGTCACCAACAGCTTGTAGTGGCCGAGCTGATGAATTCTTGTGAATCTAAAAACTATATACTGGTCCCTTGTTACAAGGGTTTTTTTTTCATTTTTAAAAAATTCACAGCCTTGATTTAAAAGATGCATTTAGAAACCTGTGACTATTATTCAAGCACCCATGGCGTATCTACAAATGTCAACTACAGTCTAGGTTATAAAACAGTATTATACACACCCATTCCATACATCTACGACACAATTAAAGGATAATACATAAGCAAAAAAACAACAGATATGTGCCTGGAAAATGTAAGACACTTAGAAATTGACCAAAAGGAACATCGAGAAAATCTTTAGGCCAAATGATAATATACATATTTGTGAATTTGGCTAACAGAACCTA